GTTTTTTTTTTTGCGAGATTGTTGCTTTTCCCCAGGAGGTGTGGTAAGGCTATGGGTTTCTTGCATTCAGGGTAGGTCGCTTTGGTTACCAAGGGCACGAGATGTTCACCTGCGCTTTTGGTTGGTTGTACTTGCAATCGTGCTCCCGCAACAATGCTTCGCTCATTTTCGGATTCCGCTCGGGTTGCCGACATAGTGCGGTGCGCATTCGCACCCTTAGTGAAACCCTACCGGTGCTGGACCCTGAGACCGTCAGGGACCCGGGATACGGATTTAAGCTCTAGGCTTGAGGACTTCGCGTAGGGCTTCTGGAATCTTCTGTTTATGATGCGTTCTAGACGTTTCGAGCATCATCTAGAATCATAGGGAGTCTCACAAAAGCAACATGCTGGTCTTGTGCTATGCTAGTTTCATGCAGAAAAGAGCATTGTCACGACAGAGCAAACCGCAGGCAGAGTAGACAATTACCTAGAGAGCCCAATACCCCTTAAATAAGGAATATACCTTAAATTATACCTTAATATCATGATTTAAAGTATATTCCTTAATTAAGGGGTATTGGGCTCTCTGGGTATGAGTGTTGAGAACATGGTGTTGAGCAAAATTTAAAAAATAGAAGGGCGCGTTGCCTGAAAACCCAAATCCTAAACCCGTCTAGAACCCTTGTAGAACCCTTATAACCTTATAGAACCATTGTAGAACCCTGACAGAACCCATGCCGAACCCTCTTAGAGAAATGCGAGCCTCCCTAAACCCTAAACCACCCTAAACCCTAAAACCCTAAACCCTAAACCCTAAACCCAATACCCTCTTTGAGGAGCGAGATGCCCTCCGAAGCCACGGCGGCGCCGCCGGCGGCCGCAGCCTCGGCTCAAAAGCCGCAGCCACGCCGAAGCAAGGCCGCTTGGCAGCGAAGCCGAGGCCCAGGTTGAGACAGGATTTAGGGTTTAGGGTTTAGGGTTTTGGGATTTAGGGCTTAAGGTTCAGGGTTTAGGGTTTCAGGGTATAGGGTTTTAGGGTTTAGGGTTTAGGGTTTTAGGGTTTAGGGTTTAGGGTTAAGGGGTTAGGGGTCTGTTAGGGTTTGGGCGTTCATGAATGGCAGTGGCTGTTATAGGGCTTTCTGACAAGCTGCTCGCTATGTCAGGCTTGCAATGTGGAAGTAGGGCCTCAAGGTGCTGAAGGGATCAGAGGGCTTCCCACAGATGGTAGTCATAAAGAACAATAAACATAATCATAAGAGTATTCACAATAATAGCAAGAATAAGAGCAGCGGCTACTGAGAATGTTGGGCCTGGGCCAGGAAGATTTGGGGCTTTGGGTTGGCTGAGCTTTGCAGCGTGTTCTCACTGGAATGTCTCCGATGAAGCCTTCAGAGCCCATGGCGAAGGGGGATCAACTTCGTCTGTAGAGCCAAAGAAACCACCAATTGCCCGGTGCGAATTTGCCGATCTCATCCCAGACTTCTCCTGCAGCCGTCTCTTTGCACGGAAGATAGCTGCCGCTGCCCTTCGCCGAGCCATGGGGTGCGGTGCAAGCACTGGTACGGTCAAGAACGGCTGCGCTACATCAACGGTGCGAGTGCCGCAGTCATTTCCGAAGCCTCCGCAGAACTTACCACCAGATCAGGCCACACACCAGCTCTACGTAAGAGAGCTCAACATGTTCCTCATCAATGTGGCCAGAAATCCAGACGCATTCGTGAAGAGGGTGGAGAGGGGTCGGGAGATTCGCTTTGCGGAACTTTCGATGGAGACAGGCATGCACCGTGCAGTGTGCGCAGAAAATGGTTGGCTATTTGTTGGTCCGTGATTCGACACAACTTTTCGGAAACCGGCGTGAGTTGCTACCAAGAACAATTGATGGTTTTCTTGAAGTGACTTGCTGCAGTTTGCTTGGAGCATGAGCTTTGGTTGCTATCAGCATCGATCGAGTGCTGCAGCGAAGCCTTGTTCCAGATGCAGCAGGATCTGTCCGTATTTGATGCATTTGAAACTTGCTACGGGGGGGGGACCCCTCGTACAGGAAA